TGCTGAGAACATGAGAAAATAATCCAGTTCTTCTTCATTTATTACTTTAAACATTTGATTCTGATCTACAGACAAATTAGGCTAATCCTGCCCTATGAACATTGCCTACTCCTCTAGCCTTGCTGCATTCTTGTGAGTTCTAGTAATTAAAGTATTGTCCTGTATATTATATGTTCTTTATATGCTTTTAAGGTTTCTGTTGAAAGCTGTCTGGGGCAGAATTGTGTGCTGCAGTTTAACTTTTTTCAGTGCAAGGACTTTGCTTTTCTTGTTTTGTTTCTGCAGTTTTGACTCTGACATCCTCAAGTCTGAAATACAATTGCTCTAATCAGAAGAGCTGACTGAAGTTATAAGAAGACACAAAGAATGAAGGCAGAAAAAAACCAAAACAAATCCTTTTGAGGAATGGCTTCATCACAAGCACTGCTACTTAAGCTGTAACATGAGAAGCACAATTCAAATCAGGACAATTAACTCTGCTGTGATTTGGGCTGGCTTTTCTTACATATTTGGACTAACCCAAAATCTGATGCCATCATCTGGCTGCAGATGGAGAAAGGTGATGAACTCTCATTTTAATTTTTCCTGATTATCAATTTTTGCATTTCCAATTACTGAAGCCCTGGAAATAATCTTATTTTATAACACTTGCATATTTAAAATATTATAATTCTTTTAAAGCTTGTGTGCAAACCCATTGGAACCCTATGCCTTTGAGATGCAGGATCTGTGTAAGTTCACACCCCCTGGGCCAATGACAAGAAAACACGAAAGAAGAGGGAGAAAGAAGGGAGGGATGCAAAACTGAGGAAACTGTTAAAGGCAGCAAAATCTTCAGCTCATGGTTTATTAAACACAAAGTAATGATGCACGTCTGAAACTGACTCCCACACCATTCATGTTCATTTGCAGTGAACCCACACGATAAAGTTTTAAAGGTAAAAAGTCAGCACCAAGGAAACACAATAGATATGATGTAACTAAAAATAATCACTTGAGCTGGATATATCAAGAGCAGCTTTGTTAGGGAAAGTCCTGGCAGGTCTTAATATTTTCTAAGCACAAGGAGGAAGGACAAGAAGAGAGGAGCTGGCCAAAAACACATGGGACAAAGTGTGAGGGTCTGAACCATGGGCACTGGGAGAGTGCTGGTCCAACAGGAACACTGAAGGAGCAGCCAGAAGTTCTCGTTTATGCTCTTACTCAAGGACCATACAGAATAAACACTAGAAAGAGATCACAGGAACTAGTGAACAGATGGAGTTATTTTTATAGTTCTTCCATATCTTTTTGTTTCAGTTATAGCAAATCTCAGCTACAGAGGACTTGGGAGGATGTCAGAATTTTTTTTTCACAATATTTTTTTCATAATAATGAAACTGTCATAAATAAGTACTTGCCACAAATATAGCTGTGTCATGCAGTGTTTCATACGAGTCCA